ACAGTGTACTGCATAAAGGAAAGCTAACAGCCTCTTCTGTTTTAATGTGTACATTTGGGTACATCTGTAATGATCCCTGAGTCAAAGGCATTATGCACAACACACATAGGTGCTGACTTGTCCTGCTATGCTCAAAAGTTTTAAGACTAGTTTGTCCACGTGGATTCTCGTTTTGATTTCAGCTTTCCTTATTCACATGAGTAATGTCAGATGGATGAAGGCATCAAGGTGATTATACTGAAAAGTTTTTCAGTGTAAAAGAAACCAAGGAATTGGTGGATTTTAGTAAGACCAGGATGAAAACTTGGTTGAAATCATTTTTGCTGTAATGCTCTTCGGGGACCACCACACATGTTCATAGCCCTTGGCTGATTCCCTTCATCCTCTCCTATGCAGGGTCCATGACAGCTGCTGCAAGGCTATAGTGCCTTTCTTTTCATAGATCTGCACTGAAACAAGTTTCCACTTTGCTGTGTCACTTTGTAGAGATGCAGTGAAACAGTTTGTATTATTTTTACTTAGGAAGTCTTATTTAATAGTGGCAGTGCTGCTCAGTTATGACAAAAGGACATAGTTTTGTATTTTTACCCTGTGATGCCGATATGGTGCTGTCCTCAAGATACCATGAAATGTATGCATATCCTAAGGCGATTATTTGAGATAGTTACTGCTTGGCTTGTGATTATCACAAACAGTGAAGTTACTGTTAACTACCTGTTCATAAGGCTGCACACTGCAAAATGGGCTACTCAGGCACCTGATGAAAGGCTTTCGCCATAGCACCTACTCTTGCTGTGATCCGTCAGAGCCCAAGTCCAATTTTCAGATTCTATTAAAGGCATCCCTGGTTGCTCAGATGTTTAGGCTTGAACCACATTTCACCTGAAGAGAGATGGGCAGGAGATTTTTGGCCTATCCTGCTTTAAAACCTTGTTTTTGATTGTGGCCATCTTCAGGAACAGAGCCGCTGACCACTGTAACAAATATGTTTGTTTTTAAAAATGTCCATAATTGCAGCATTGCATCATCTCCATGGTTATTTTAAAAATTCTCTTTGTGACTTTACATTATTAATAAGATGTCTACAGAATTGTCTAGAAAAAAACTCTTGTGTTGATCTTGACTGTGACTCTTATCATTTCCTGTCGTAACTGGACCAAGTCCTCAGCTGGAGTAAACTGATGTCACTTTTACTCTGTTATTTCTCTTCATGTTATTGGCACTATTGTCACCAGCTGTCACGATAAGATATCCACAGTATGTCAGTAGGGAAGAATCTCTCTTTTGAAGGACAAACTAGATAAAATGACACAAGAAACGGATAGTATATGCTGTGTGCTGGTTGGAAACATGCTATAATGAGCTGGAAACTCAAGTCTGTGATTACAAATATGCCATATGAAGCATGGGTGAATTTAAATGATTGCTAACTACAACTCAACAACTAAACTAGCACTGGAAGACAGATTATATGTGAATTTGTTAAAATGCAGATCCACACATGCTACAGATTAGAACAGGAAAATTTTGTTTGATGCTTTCCTTCTACATATTTCAAAGTGCGTCACCAAGGCTAGTATCCCTGTTGCCATTTTAAAAATAGGAAAAGAGAAACACAGAGGAAAAGAGTGCTAGGGTCCCTCAGCCACACAACAGCAGAGCCACAAGGAGAACTTAGGCCTCCTGAATCACCCTGCAGTGTCAACAAGAGAATTTAAATAATTTGGGTACATTTGCATAACATTCATAAAACAGATTACCCAGTAAAGGTGAAAGTAATGAAACCTGATTTTGAGGAGGTTTAGCTTGGTGTGCCATCAAAATCATGGCTTAGGAAATAGTTCTGTAGTATCCAAGGGAACTTATTTGTATGAACTAACACAGGCAAATCCTATTAGCATAAGAGTTACTTAAGCACATCCTCCCAAATTGATATTAGACTTTGCTCGCCACACACGTTCAGCAGTGCAGTAGCAAGGCAAGCCACATTACTGTCATTCTGAAGTCATATCCTAATCATAGAGCAAGTACATCAGTGCCACTCCAGAGGCAGAGCAAAGCCCTCTAATAGAGAAAGAGGAATGAGGTCATGTGTGGCCCACCGACTTTATTGCAAGTGGCAAGACAAAGGTACTTCCGAGGCAATAACTTCACGGATGCAATTGGCCGAGAAATATAATCAGTCTTTGAATGCTATAAAAGGTACTAATGTATTAGTTGCTGTTTGAATAGTATTTTATAATACACACCATGTCAAAGGACTGAGAATCTAGAGCTGTTGCTGCTAATTAAAAAGCTACAGAGACACAATAAAAAACTTTCCCTAATGTTAACCTGGATTTTTCTTGTGCACAGTAACCTTAAAATACGCCCTACAGGGTAAATGGTCCTTCATGTCACACGTCTCTCTCTCTTTCCTTTTTAGGGTAGGGCACACAAGCCTGATCTCCTGTTCAAGGGCACCAAATTTGACTTACGGCTTTATGGCACATAGGTTTTACCCTTTTTAACCAGAGTGAAGTATTAGCCTTTATTTCTCTGAATGGTAACCTAGAGCACTCCCGGACACAGAGATCTTAGGGAAAGAAAAAAAGGAAAGAGCGAGAAATGTAGGAAAGAGATGCTTTTTCTTTATAGCCATAGAAAGATGAGCTGTGTCAGGTATTCTAGGTTTCTATACATGCTGATAGGCAAGAAGTAGAAGTACAAGGAGACAACCTGAGCAGGAGCGGTTACGTTATAGTATTTCAAGGTGTTTGAGGGCCTGAGTATTTTTATCCTTGAGACACCAGGCATGTCTTATGTGCGAGTAAAATTCACTATTGCAGATTTCAAACCTGTGTGATCTTTATCAAAGTTTATTTTCAAATGTAAATGTATTACCTGTTTAAATTTGAAGTTTCTGGTTATTCTTTAAATGAGTTTTATAATTTGGATGCCATTCAACCCTTGACTGTGTTCCGAAACCAATGATGAACTTGCCCTATCCATCTTAGCCTCGTAATGGATAGATAGAATGTATTAAGAGTTATCACCTCAAAGGCAGATCAAAGTCTGCTTCCTTTAATATTGACTTTCTTTAAAAGGACCTAAATATAACCCACTAGCTAAATAATTCAATTTTGGGAGAGGGGGAGGAACTGCATGTTTATACAACAGACCACAATAACTCCACAGTTTTATGATTTGTTGGAGAAGAAGAAATCCTTCTCACATTTTATGTTTAAGGAAATGTTACTCTTAGACTAAATGAGCCCAAACCTGTCAGCCATCCAAATGGTCTCTTCACTGACATAAGTGGCAAACACTGACAGGAACAGCTCAGCTCAAGGAATAGAAACAATTATCTAATCTGAATAAATGGTCCATTTTCAGATGTTTCACAATGTCGTGCAGGGTGGTTTTTACATTCCCTACTTGACTCACTCTGCTTGATTATCAAAGGTGTTGAAATATTGGTAACTCACACAGGCTTTCAAATTTAGTTTTCTTGTTCTCTTTCTGTTCTTTCCTTAAATATCTCTAAGTTTTGGAAAATACACATATCAGCGTGCACACAGGTGATAAAATATATGTTCAGTTAATGCCAGGCGTTCTCAGGAGTTCCAGAGCAAAGCGGCAATGCTGTATCTCTGCATTTCATGAGAATGCAAGGAATGAGGGCCATATCCTGCCATTTGTCCATATATGACTAAACGGTACCTGGAGCCAGTCCAGTCCAGAGGGTTTCCCAACAAGCTAGAAGCCAGGCACAGCTGCTGTACAACTACTTGGGGCTCTTCTAGCTTCTGTCCTCAGTCACTTCGTCTGTTCTCATGAACCATCCATGGTTTATATCATGCTAAACATGGTTTGACTGATTTTCTGGGGTTTTGTGCCTACATTTTAGCTGGGGAGGAGGGAGAAAGACCTCAAGGCTGAAACCACAGATCCCAACTTCGACTTCTGGATGTGGAATACCATACTGTGGGTGATTAGCTTTCAATGATGGCTCTAAAAATGACTATACCTATATTTGGAAAAGACTTTTCCTTGCTCTCTGTATTTTAAGTGCTGTGGAATCAACAAACATTGAGTAAGCTCCACTACCATGTGTTTTGCAGTACAGGGGTATGAGATGTTTAACCTCAGCTCTGTTTCCTCCGGTATTTGTGTTTGT